AGTTATCCGGGGATGACGTTGCCGAAGAGCAGACGGACCCATTGGCTGAGGCTAAGCAGAGTAAGAAAGTGCAGTCTGAGGACGCTAAAAATGAAATGGGGGTAGCGCTGGAAGACAGAACAGAGGAGGTTTCAGAAGAGGATGGAATTGTTCAATCAGGGTTTGAGCAGTCTGGGAGTGTCGCTGGGGAAGCCTACGATCCGAGTGATTACATTCTGCCAGCAGGCCAGTTTGAGCCTAATATTGAATTGCCAGAGAGGGCAGAGCTGTGTGTGATCAGAGGAGATGGATTTGAGCAGGGGACGGATGGTTTGACGGTTGTGAAAAAGGACTTGGCCAACCTCCAGTTTTTCAACGACCAAGATCCAGGAGACGCGGCAGTCAACTTGTTTGATTATGAGGAATCGACAGAGGCTACTGGGTGGATCGATGACTTGCTAGACGTTGTTAACGAAGCTTAGTTAGAACAGGGCCCGGCAGGGGCAAGTATATCAGTGGTAGCCGGAAGGGCCGGAATCAGAATGAATTGCCGGAGAGCGCCGGTGCTAAGAATTCTGCTCGAGACTTGGGCATTATGAATGCGAGAATTGTTGAACAGCCAGCTGTACTGACGTAGTTGGAACAAGAAAGGTTTCAGGATGCCGAGAGAATTAGGAAAGCTAAGGGCCCTGAGGGAACTGAGAGTGCTGTGTGCACGAAGATAGAGAATGCTGTGAGCATATGGACGGAGAGCACTGCGGATGCAATTGAACCGGAGCCAGACAGGTGTCTGTTGTCTGCCGACGGAATGTGGTGGGAGGATGATGATTTATGTCTTGCCCACATGGATGAGGATTGGGGGAGTAATCAGCCAGATGATACCTAGTATATTGGTGAGGTCGATCATATGACGAGAAGCGGGCGGTATTTCAAGCTCCTGCACCTAGACCAGCTAGAGGTATCTGGGAAAGATAAGGAAGTTGAGAGACAGAAAGAGAAGCAAGTCGAAGAAGAGGCTGTACTGAAGTAGTTAAAGAAGATACAAGCAGACATCTCCATCTGGGGACTGCTTATGGCATCGCGAATGCATCGACAAGCTGTTTTATCGGCCATGGACAAGGCCAAGCTCTCTATAGACACCACACCCGAACAGCTGGTGGGCTTAGTTTTTCTGGGAGGAACTACCCCGATGTTAACCTTTTCTGACAAAGAATTGCTACCTGAGGGTGCGAACCATAACAAGCCACTCTACATCTCCGTGGAGTGCAGAAATAAATGGATACCCGTGGTGCTTTTCGACACAGGGTCCGCCATCAATGTATGTCCAGCGAGGACTGCCTATGCAATTGGCTTAAAGACCGTGGACTTTGTGCCAACAGCCCAGGTGATTCGGGCATACGACAACACAAGCAGAGAAGTCATGGGGACAGCGAAAATTCAGACCAAGGTTGGACCGGGGCAGCATGAAATTGACTTTCACATCCTAGAGGTTCCCATCACTTTCAATCTACTATTGGGGCGGCCGTGGCTACATCAAGTGAAGGCAGTTTCTTCTACCTTGCATCAAATGGTGAAATACCCCCATGGAAAGAGAGTAGCCATTGTTTTTGGGAATTCATCGATCCATCTACCGCCGGAAGTATCTATGCCAGTTTTGGAAATTGAGCATGGTATGGAGGATGTGTTTTTATTCGGTTTTACCCTAGCTGAGGCCCGGGTCGTGCAGAACATCTTAGCTATTAATGAGGGGGTGTATGTCAGTGCTCAATCGGTATACCTCATGAACAAGCTTCAACATATCCCCGGGATGGGATTGGGAAAGAGCGACCGGAAGGGCGTCGCAGCATCGGCCGAGGTGCCACATAACCCACATACCTTTGGTTTGGGTTATCTGCCCACCAAAGAGGATTGGATAAGGAAGGGTAAGGAGATGGCTGGGAGAGCCAGAGCGAAAAAGGTGGGGAAGCCTTTTGATTTAATGCACTGGCCCATTCAGGGTACCCTAAACGGACGCTTCGTCCGGGAGGGGGAGGACTTTCCGTTCTGTGGCTTCCCAG